AGCGACAATGTACCAAACAGTTTGCATATTTTCCCAGTATATAAAATAGAAGCATCCGGTGTCGGAGAAAGTATGCGGAAACCGCAACCAGCCCCTCTTCTCCCTCGTTTTCCCAATGCAAACGCGCGAAACTTCGTGTATGGTGGTTTTCCGTCGGCTCGGATAGCCGGTATTCCGCTATTTGGAAAAGTTACTTCGGTCAGTTTGAACGAGGCTTCGTTTCAGTTTTCCTGGCCCGTACGGTTGAAAAATCACGGGATATAATTAATCGTCGCCGGGACAGAGAGCTTCCTCGTCGCAAGTCATTAAGATCGCGTCGTACGTAGTAATTGGCCTGAAGTCGGCGGCCATTTAAAAAGCACCACTCTCTGCACGCTGATTCCGCTCGAATTACACGCTAATCCAGCCCGACGAGCGATTAAAAGCGACCTCGCGAAAAGGTGGAGGTGAATTAATGGACCGACGACGCGGAACGGCCATCTTTCTGCGTTTCCATTCTCCGCGTCTTCTTTCCACGTGTACATCGGTCAAACTGGACGTCGTTTTTTTTTTTCAATTTTGGCAAGTTTCTTTTTTAGGCTCTTTTTAACATGACGTGCCAAAAATGATTAATTTTTCTTCTTTAATCTGTTTCCTAGGCATGCAGAAATGAATTTACTATTATTTACAATGCCCATAATCACGTTTTTGTCGTTGTAGAAAGGATAACGCAATATGGGACATTAAAAAAAAAAATGATTAAACAAAATTGCACTTATTGGGCTTATTTGAATAGTTGTGCATCTGTGAGTCACGGGCACGAGTATTAAGTAAAGGGATATATCGCAATTTTCTTCGGATAAGACATTTATTTTTGGGTCATGAAAGAGATCATTTCTTTGATCATTATTTTGTTTCTTACTTCTGATTAGAAAATGTTGCGCTTTTTATATTTTTGTCTGATAGAAAATTAGATTCTAAGTTTGTACTTTTCAAAGTACTTTGTAAATTTCTACTTAAAAGTTGGAATTTTGAATTTCGATTTGATAGAACGTTCAATTCTAATTTCAACTTCTATAATAAATAGAATTTTTTATTTAACATCTTCCATAATTTATGTGTTGTACTTCTTTTATTGGTCACAAGTATCTTTATATTAAAAATATCCCTTAAATTATGTGCCAGAATACAATTGCCTATAATTCGACGGAAGTTTCAATTGAAGCGAGAATTTCCAGCTGGTTCTTTCCGACGTTTTATTCCACGATATCCTAAATAAAGAAAGACCGGATGAATAGATCGATCTACTGGCAAGACGCCGTGGAACTTTTAATTGTAACGCCGGTGTTTGCTTTATCGCCGAACGATGCAAAAGTTCCGAAGAAATTCTCCTCGAGCCGATGCTTGAGCTTCTTTGTTGTTTAATCATAATAGCGATTTATTCCGGACCGGAGTAATTATTGGATTCACCGTGGGAGAAAGTTCCTCTGGCAGCCATTTCGTTTGACAAATACAGCCGAAATGTAACCGCGAGAAAAATTGTATCCACAAAATTTCGTGATTTCCAGTAGAACAAACTTTCCAAAATTTCACCAGGACAAATTTGACAAATTTAGCTGAATTGCAGAAACAACGTACTTAAATCGTAATTAAATCCTCAGATAGAATTTTCATTCGTATTGCGTTCTTTTCAAAATTACTAAAATTTTTCAAAGTTCTACAATTTCTCCAATTTCGAAACTCATCCCAAAAAACCCCTTTGCTCAATCCCTCAAGAACAGAACCTGACCTCTGCACACTTTGCGCGATTCTCCCCTAAATTTCTACCTAAACATAGTGTAAACGCTCATGGTCGGGATCTCAATGAGATACCTATCGAGCTTTGTAGAGATTGCACGTGATGTGCCGACTAGAGTTCAATATGTATGTCTCGAAGGACCACTCTTACAAATACAAGAGACTATGTAAATTATAATAACTCTTCTTCTATTATTCTTAGCAATTGTGTTCCCTTTACACTATTCTCAACTATATCCTAAGACACGTTTACGCGTGTTTTTAAAGCATCGGTGATGGTACTGATTGGTTGACAGGGGAAGGGAAGTGGAAAACGGGGTGACAAAAATGCGAATATTCAATTGGTGGATGGAATTTGTGGAAAGGTAGCGGGAAGGATTCGGAGGGGGGGTGATGAGCGATTTCTCACCCCTACGGGGAAAGGCCCAAGGTGACGTCAGCGCGGTACCGTTGATCGGGTCACCGTGGCCGTCCGACTCTTGGGTTCCCTAAAGTTTATGACACGGTAATTGCTATTGAGAGAGACAGCAAATTAATTTAGCTAATGCTAAGGTCACGTACCACCTATTCAGGTACGGGTAAAACTTTGCCTTCTCAAAAATAGCGTCTACAGGCGACCGTATCATAAACTAGTTCTAACGAAGCCTTAACACATAGACTTAATCCCCCTGTCACGCTGAAGTCATCCCACCGAGAAGAAACTCAAATTATCAATTACATTCTCTAACAAGGAAAGAAGGGGAAAAAGGGACAGAATCATCTGTCACTCGAGCAGACTCTCAGAAATTACCTTGCTTCGAATTGAATTATTCAAAAAGCCGGCTGTACGAGTAGAAAAGAGGACCGCGTCGCTCTGCCCCTAACAATATTCTCCCTTATACAAAGAAAGACAGAAACACTCCTCCGACGCAAAGAAAAGAAACGAAAGAAGAAGACGAAGGAGAAGAAAAAGAGTACGTGAAACGAGAGAAGAAGATGAAGGGGTGGAATTCGTTGGAAACAGAGCGTAGAAGACGCGTCCTCCGCGGAGAGCCGAGGCTGTTCCTCATTGTCCGCGGGAGCGGAAAGAATGGCGGCGCACACGACGACTCCGAGGCAGTTTCACGGAATGCATTAGGCAGATGGAACGTGTAATTGGAGGAGCGCGTGTTATACAGAGGGAGGATGAGGAGGCACGGCCACCACCTGTCGTCGTCGCGTCTCTCCTCGTTCCTTCGAGGCGTCCACACTCTTTGTCTCCCGTTTCCCGCGCCGCCATTAACCTGTTTAGCGTAGCGGCGTCTCGCGACGCGTCTATCATGTTGTTTCCGCTTCTCAACGATCGTTCAGAAGACTCGCTGAATGAGGCATGATGCGGGGGATGGAGAAGTTTGTCGATGAGAGAGCTTTTAATTGTGTGGGAGAATTTAAGGGTTTGACGAGGTGGACTCTGTGATTTGAAGATTACTCTGTGACGGAACTTTGGGATTTTTTAGGAATTGAGGGGTTCGGTGCAAGAGGGAGCTTACATGAGGCTTTTATGAAAAGTAGTGTTTCAATAGAAATTGCGCAATTAAGACTGCTATTTCTTTATTTAAACTTATTAATATGAAGGTAGTGTGTCTGGGAAAATGTTTTGGTTTTTATTTAATTTTCTGTATGCTTGAATCTGAAAATTCGATTTAAAAAGAAAGCTTTGCAAAAACTGTTCTTGTTAGGAAATATTTTATTTAGGACTATTTTGCTTGACAAAACATGTATCCTTGTACATTTTACGTGTATTAAAGCGTTTGGGGGAAATTCTGAAGGTGAAATCTCATTTTTGAACATTTCGTGGCATAACTCCCTCTTGCACTGGATCCCTCAATTGTAATCAGTGAGGGAATTTGAGGACTCTGAAAGGTTCGAGGAAAGATAATTTTGTGAGGAAATTTTTGAATTCGAAGATTATAATTGGGGTAAAGGAATTAGATATTTAGGGGTGGATTTTGAAGATTGTGGTTGCAGAGATCCTGCAAACGCTGCATTTTCTCGCTGCCAAATGTTTGAGGAATTACAATTACCGATTTAACTTGGAATCTTTCAATCGGACGAATTTTGAAAGGGTTGAGCATTCAAAAGTGATTTTCCTTTGAATTTTTGGAAGGATTACGAAACATTCTTACCACTTTTTGCCAATCTAAAACTGAAAAACAAAAGAACGAGACGTTAAGATTACCATGAAACGATCCAAATGATCCTTTACTGTGTATTTTTAAATGTTCAATAGAAAATTATTGGATTCAATGGATGATGGATACTGAAAAAGGTAAAGTATTTAATAAAAGACATTTTCTGTCGTGTCTCTTTGAGTGATATTTCAAACAAATCGAAAATCAATATATTTCGACGAAAGAAACATTCTTTTATCGTGTTTCTTAAGTATATTATGTACTTTTAAAGTGTCTCTTAAGTATACGTGTTAGACGTGAGTCATTCAGAAATCCTGTCTCGAAACCGCATGAGCACGTGTTACGGGTTAACTGTTCGAAAGAGGAGGACCATGCACGTTCAACACTTTATTGACTGGAAACGACATGTTCGAACGTTTTCCCTCACATTTCGTGATCTTCTCTCCCTTCCGTGAATCACTACTACACCGTGTACCTATCTGTCGCCATTTTCTACGTGCACCAGCTTCGTTTATCCGATTGTCTCCGATACGAAACAGAACAGAAAGAACCTGCACTATTATAAAAATCTCTACTATTACAAAGAGAAGAATGCACACTGCTATACATAGTTTCCTTCTCAAACAGACAACAGTCAGGATTCTTAAAAAACAAATGCGAAAATACAGAATAAAGCCACCCTGTCTCTCCACGAAGAATTGCAAAATCTGAGACTTTTAATAACATCACAGAGCCATTCAGTTAGGGAATCAGAAACGATCAGACTCTGCTTGACAAATCTAATCTGAATCGCTGTAGTAATTTCCCTCGAAGGAACCACTTCCCACATTCCCGTCCCCTAGTATTTCAGAACACCCTGGTGCGTCTAAAAAAAATTCCACTAACATCAACGCCATTCACACAGTTTCTTGCAAAGAAACAAGACAAAAAAATTTGTTCGATCAAACCGAACCCACGAACACTCGGATAAACGAAGCTCTGTTCCGTACGTGTGAGAGAGAAAGATAGAATGAATGAGAGTACGCGCAAGAGGAACAAAGCCACGTTAAGCTGGTTGCGATTGGTGTGTTGCAGACACGAGGTGCCTGTCACCTCGGAGCCGATCACGGTGATACACATGGACGAGGACGTCGTCGTGGTCAACAAGCCCGCCTCCATCCCTGTAAGTGGTGTACTGCCAGGACTGTACTGCCAAAAACAAAAAAAACAAAAAACAAGAAAAGAAAAAGAACTACTTTGCTAGAGCAGCTTCGTGTCTCTTTCTGTACTAGAGAAACGACGATTGTTCGCTTCCTGCGGCCCCTGGCCGATTATTTTTGGCTCGAAGCAGCCATCGTGCGATCAATTCGAACGGATCCCCCGCGTTTGTTTGCCGTTCGAGATCATGTTATGTGCTTCTACTGGCCGGATTTATTTGACTGCTGGAATACCTTCGACTCGGTGGAGCCTAATTCTCGTTGCCTTCGCGAATCGTTGTTGCATAATTGAATAGTAATCAGGTTTTATTTGTGGGTCTGTGGAATTTTTTGAGAATATAGAGAGGGCAAAAGTCGGGAGAAGAATGTTTGAGTAGCATTTGAGGATATGAAAGATGTGTGTGACAAAAGTTCTTAACCTCTTCAGGGACGATTTTCTTTCAAATTAGAAAATATTGATCTAACTTCATTCATGGAGATTTTTCGAGATTTCGGGAGATTGTGGTCTTTTCATATTTTCTCTATCGCAAGTATTGAAATTTTCGGAAAATTTAAAGGTACACACATGTGTCGGTGTCCGTGAAGATGTTAAACTCAGATTTCAAAAATGTTTGATTCAACCCTTTCGTTACTAGTAGGAATGAAGTACTCGAACCATTTGAGTGTACTCGAACAAGAATTCATCTGAATTTAGCATCTGTTACAGACACGATGAGTAGATAAATTGAAGGAAAAAAGAAAAAGATTACGAAGAAAAAGAGAGGAAAATAAATTAGAAATTTTTTAAGCAAATAATTCAATGACGAAAGGGTTAAATACTGAAATCTTATTTTTTTCTTAATTCGACTATTAGACGATGTCACGTAATCATTCAGTAAAATTGCAAACTTATGAAAGTATCATGCTTTTCGTTTTACTGCCTTCCATTCTGCGATAGTAAATTATTATTTCACCTCAGAGGTTGAGAACTTTTGTTACACATTGTGCTATTATATTCACGTATAAAGGAACGTATAAGGAATTTCTTCCTTGACCTTTTCCTTCAACGAGGATTGTAATACTTGCATATGGAAAAAGTGCAAGGATTTCAAGTGTTTCCTATGGAAAAGGATATAACACATTGACGTGTTAATTACCACATCGTTGAAAGATTTCTAACAAGTACCTCTTAAAATGTCACGCTAATTTATTTACAAGAGGGAAGAAAAAAGAATTCCCAAGACAAAAGTCACGATTCCCAAGTCGAAGGTATTCCAGTCTGAAGAACGTGAGATAACGTTTACGTAGATCCTGTAATACGTTACGTGAGGCCTTAAGCGTTGTCATATCTCGAGAAGAAATAAAGAAGGAAGCGTGTACAATCGTCGATCAAATTCCTACATTTTGCTGCACGTTTCTCTCTCCTCGGAGTATTTTCTTTCCTTTTTTTTTTTTCCTTCTTTTTCTAGTGTGTCATGGTAAGTTTCCGTTTCTTCGACTAAAGCTATTAACCGCACGCATGCTTCTCTAACTGTGCATGTACCAGGTGTATTTTTACTAATTTTTCCTATCTCCAGCCTGGTCGATTGGCTTTACTCATCGTCCACAAACTCGACGGCCTTCGACGCAGCAAATAGTTTATGAATAATCACTCGGCAATTTTGTAATGCGTTTTTACACGGTGACTGCTTCCCAGGTTCACCCGTTTGCCTGTCTCTTCTTTTGTTCGCGATTTTTTTCTCTGCCTTTGCATTCTTATTTTCCCGGTGATTTATCGTAATTCCATCGCTTCTTTATCTTGGTTTCTTGAAATGTCATTTTTTCAGTAATTTCCGGCAGGATATTCCTTTTTTTATATTTTTATCACTGTTGAGTATTGGACTTCTTTGGACGACAATTTTAAAGACGAAGAATTTTACCAATTTCTCCAATTTTTTGTATTTTGCATTTCGATGAGCTCGATTTTCTTTTGTAATAATTGAAAGTCCAAGAATTTTGTCAATTTTTTCTATTTTGAAAAGTTTGCTTTTGTGGAAATAACTTACAAATCGAAGATTTTTGTCAATTTTTTCGGTTTCTTAATAATGATAGTATCTGAAAAGGTTTGTGTTTTCTTACGGCTATTAGTGATGAAAACCGTGACAAATCAACGGTGAAACGTTTTAAAATAGACACAAACTTGTTCTAACTACGTTAATCGGAGATTTTTTCTCTCTAATCGCGCAATTGCGTTATAACTGAAAATTACACGGTCGACGTAAATTATCCCTCGTTCATATGCATTCGAAGATGCACATTACGAGTGTGCCATTATAAAATTGTCGGACTGGCGCAGAAATCGCGTTGGAATGGTAGTTAGAGGCATTATGCCTGGATTAGCAGCGTGGTAAATCATTCTGGCTCTCTGGCAGCCAGTGAAAATGTCATCGAGAGATCGCTAAGGGTTTCGCAAGCCACGTTGCAAAGATAATCTAGAGAAAAAATCACGAAGCCTTCTGCTTTCTACTTCTGTGGATATTGCTAAATTCTGGAATTTTTAATTTCGACCTCCGGGGAAAAAGAAAAAAATAGAAATTTAAATTATCAACAGAAGCTTCGAATTCTGTGAATACTGATTAAACCTGAATGGTACGTTTCACGTTCTCTAATTACGCAAAAAATTGAAAATTAAACAGAAATTAAGAGAAATCGAAGGAGGTTCCAGAATCTTCTAAGAATGTGAAATCTAAATATTCGTTAAATCTGAAGCCTCGAATATTGAATATAAATTTAAACTGAAATCGTGCATTTCACATACTTTAATTGTACAAAAATTTATTATCAAGATCTTCCAAGAGCATGCAAAGTAATATCAAAGTGACAAATATCAACGTCTTTCACAATTACAAATTACTTCAAAACTCGCCCTTTTAGTTAGAGCAATATTCGTAAAAAGAAATTCACCTCGGTAGATTCATACGGCCTGGCGAAAAAATTTGCAGAAAATGTGTCCCTCGAGTTTGTCACGAGAGGATTCAAGTTCGACTGGCTATTGTTCCCCGTTTAATTCGCGGATCAAAGCCCCGGAGAGACATTAAGCGACGCTTAATTACCATTCCGCGTGATCGCTTAATTGCCGCGAAAACATTTTCGCGGCCGCGAGAATGATCATTTAATTACACCGGGGACAATGGCCCGTGTCAGTTTTATTTTCCAACCCTTTTGTCCCTCCTGGATTTTTCGATCAAACTCTACCATCCCCCTTCTGTCGACACTCGGCCAACAATTTACGAACTCATCTCACTCTGTGTGTTTTACATCCCTTTAACCTTGCATTGATACACACTTGATATATTCTATAGACGCTGGTAATGTTATTACTTATGACAAAGGAGCTGGTATTACCACTGATAAAGTTTCAATCGAAGTAAATTCATAATTATACAATGGAGATTGAAAAAATGTATACAATATTATTGTGGTATTGTTAAAATGTTTTGCTTGCTTTGAAAGATAATGGTGTATGTATCTATACGCGTAAGTAAGTACTTGTTTGGTATTGATCGTAGAAAATAATTAAAAGTTGAAATTATAAAGACACTCAGATGAAGGTAGAATTATGAGGATATTCTGTACTCTCTATAGAAAATATTCAAAATGAATGATAAAAACTACAAGGGTACTTGATACTTTTTACTATACGAAATAAAGCAAACAGGGCTACGAGTTATACATACATAAGTAGAATATTGTAAAACTTCATTTTAATAGAATGCATATTTAATAATATTAAGCTTAAGTTTCAAGCTGGACGATATTAGACACATTACAGTTCACTTTAGTATTAATGGGGGAAAAGTTGAAGACACAAAGTTAGGAGCAACGGCAAATAGATAATGTCCAGTCTTCGTCGATCTTTCAGGTTAAGCATCGCTAGGTGCGGTACGTAAAAAGGATGGGTGACCGTCGAGAGGAAATTCCGACATTTCAAAAAAAACTTTGCGTGTGGTCCATCTATACTCGATATTTATACATAATGAAAAAGAGGTCTCTACAACCATAACTCTGAACAAAAAAAAAAAAATCAATTAATCGTATAATAAAAAACTGTGACTGATATTTTAACAGAGTCGAAATTTGAAACTATATACATACACGCTTTCTACTAGTAAAAAGGATTAATAAACAGAACTTTAGTCGAGAAAAGAAACACACTTTATGAATGAAAGAAAAAAAATCTATTCGGTACTATACCTAGAAAAAATCCTGAAAATAAATTCAGCGTGAAAAACACTCGACACGCTCTAAACAAAATCGTGCAAATTCTCACACTCTAAATCCCTCTACTCAAAATACTTGAAAACACATTGATGCACTTCTATCGATCTTCGCACACACATACATCGGCGCAGAAAGCAAAAAAAGGGTGGGACGCGAGCATCAATGCTCGCCGCTAGCAATCGCCTTAAAAAATTAAGTCCACCGCGAAAGCCTCTTAGTATAATAAAAAATAGTTTGACTTGAAAAAGCGAGGAACGGAAACAGAGGGTACTCGCGATACACATCCGGTTCGAGTACATCCGACTGGCCTGACAACGAGTGGGGTCACTGTGAGGTGACAAAAGGGGAGAAGAGAAGAGGGGGAAGGGTTGTGGGCAAGCCAGAGGGATGAAGAGGCAGGATTATCGAGCAAATCGAGTGGTCCTCGTTGTCGACCGGCTGTCAGCTCGTCTTTACGAGCCGCCACTTCCTGTTTACGTGCTATTTACGCTTCTAATAGTCCCGCCAGCCCATCGACCCATCCACGTTCTTCCGTTCAATCGCTCGAACAGGTCCTTCGAATTTATTGCTACGCCCCTGACTCGTGAGTGTTTCCTTTTCGAAGCTGAGTGGCCTTGAACGAAACTGCTTCTTCTTAAGCAAAAGAATTGATGAGACAATGAGCGTTTACTTGAGCCGGGGATTTTTAGTGGAAAGAGAACTTCGATTGGTTACACAGATTTCTATGCTGTCCCATACGTGAAATTTTTACTGGTGTACAAGATGATAAAAAAAAGTAAATTAATGTTTTAGATCATTCCCTTAATACTACTTATATTTTCAAAATTATAAATATTATTTTTCTGTTAACTTTATATACTTTTATTAAATATTCAACCATATACGCACATATAACAGTAGCTTAACTCGTTAATATATTTCATCTGCAGTGATTATTAATGCTATAACTCAGCCGCACACAGGGAGCGTTTGATTTTCGAGTAACCAACAGTGAAACGGTTAAAGGTTGTACATTTCATTCACTTATGATGTGATTGAAGTTGTGTAATTGGCAAGATTGTACAGTAAACTGGTTGCTCTTGTGCTTTTGGATCCTAGAACTAGGTTACAGTCGTATTGAATCTTCCGTTTGGGACAGTTACCCTTGTCTGACCATGTACGGTCATATTCTACTTACAGTACGAAGTACGAAGCTCTTATATACATTTCTATTTACCCTTCTATTTTAACTATACCAATCTAATTTGTCTAAGAACCACTTAAATTTGCTGTTAAGTTTCTAATAAAAATACTTATTTATTTTGTTAACAATTAACAATTTGTTAAATCTTGTTCATATTGAAATTAGAAATAAAGATTGCTATACCTACAGAAATTTTGTAAAATGAAGTATAAGAATGAATAACGAATTTCAAAAATTCCTTAACATCCCTGTTAAATTTCACATTAAACCCGCAACCTACACAAACAGTATAAAACATCTAAAGGCAAAACCCTTTTTCACCACTAAAATGCCAAATAAATAATTAAACTCTCATTCAGCGGACAGAGGAAATTCCTCTATTCCTCGTGAAAGCATCATTCTTCGACGTGACCATTCGAAATCGGCCACTGTGTCCACAATGGCGACAGAGGCAAACACGAGACCGTCGAATTGCTCCCTTTTATCGTCGATCGTTTCTCCCTCTACTCTTTTTTTTTTTTTCTTTCCTTTCTTTCTTTCACCTCGAATGACCAGGAGAAATGGGTCGTCGCATGCACGAAGCGTGTTTGCACGTGCGTTCGCGTACCAACACGTGTCCACGGTGTCACGCGGTTCGAATCGTTTGCACTGACCATCGGTAATACCCTTAATGGCCCGATGGAATATGGTCAGTAGGATTTCGAACCGCGCCTTTTCACCAATGTCCTTTATGTTTGCCCACTGTGTGCCTGTTAGTTTGCTTGATAAAAACGACTGTGGTCGTTCGAGAGGCATTTTTAATTGGACGATGTTGCCTGGATAAAATGTTAAACGTCTGGTGCTATTTGTCTTTTATCTGCCACTTCGATCGTGCGGTTTCGGTGATAAATGACGTGTTCGTGGATTGTTGTATCAACCGTTGGTAGATTGCTTCTTCTTTATTCTGCAGTTTAAGGAAGGTTAGACTGAATCACGCGTTGCCATTCGCGTGTAAATTGTACTAAAGTGAAGATTAAATGCATTATATACATTTAAAAGTGTTACGGAATAAAATTTCGTGAAAATGTGAAAATGAATTTTATTTATTATGAATGGTGCTCTGGAAGGTAGAGGATCTTTTTAGAGCACCTTGAATTAATCAAACGAGTTCAGATTTATGTTATTCAGCTCAAAAGAGCACCATAAACCAGTGAGAAAAGATTTACCCTAAATCAGTTAAAAACTTCTTCAATTTCTTTTCTTAAAAAAATTCATTTCTTTAATTTAGTCTTTTTCAACCAAAATTACTAACACAGATACTTTTTATTATACTGTTCAATTCAAGACAATAGACTGAACCGTCTATAAAAATTCTTCAAGCAAAAATGCTGTAACAAAAACTTATTATTGCACCCTTCGTCTCAAGAATACACTCTAATTCAATTAAAAAAGTTGTTACAACCAAGATGTACTAGATACCTATTATTACGTTCACCAACACAAAAAGACACTGAAATTCCATTAAAAAAATTCTTCCAACCAAAGATTCCACGTCAGGTACCCAGAAGACACTCTAAATGGATAAAAGAAATTACTTCAACAGAATATCGTTGAAAATATTATAAATTTAACATCCTCAACATTGACGAAAATCAAGCAGAACGATCTTGTTCTTCTAATAAGATTCACTTCACAAAGTAGATCAGCTTCTCGTTTGGGGAACAGAATAATCTCATTCCGCTTTCCTCTAACAAAGTATTTTTAACCACGGTAGAATCGTCGATCGCTAGATCTCCCTTTACTGTTCCATTTCCATTCTGTTTTCACGGTAAATAAACGTAGCTCGTGTTCGTTTTGGATTGCAGGTGCATCCGTGTGGACGATACCGGCACAACACGGTGGTTTTCATTCTAGCGAAGGAATACAACCTGAAGAACCTCAGAACGATCCACAGGTTGGACAGACTGACCAGCGGAATTCTCCTTTTCGGTAGGACGCCAAAGAAGGCGCGGCAGATGGAGCACCAAATACGAAACAGACAGGTTCGTTTACGTAACTGTAATGGGAAACCGGCTCCCGATTGGAATTCTCATGGAATTTTAAGTGAAACCAGGAGGAAAAATTGCGCAGCCTGTGGAATTAAGAGCCATTAGGTCGTATTTAACGTCTTGTGGAGATTTATGAAGAATTATGGTAACATTCTAGGAAATCCTTGGTTAATTCTAACTTGAGCGCCTAAGTTTCCGATATTGTTCTTGGGAATTTCAAAGCTTTCGTGTTGCAAACTTTCGAATGTTATTTGTAGAAATAATTCCACCCTAGGTTAATTCTGACATTAGCACTTGGTGAAAATTCACTCACACTTGAAAAGGAGAAATAGTTTTAGCTGAAAGAATATTAATTTAAAAATACAGAAATTAATGGCGTATCCTCGCGCGTAGCTAGCTGCGACGCGACGCGGATCAGTTCATGATCAGTGCGTCTTTGTAATTTGTAATATTTCTACATTTCTTTTATATAGAATAAAAATCAGTAATATTAAACAGTTATTATTTCAAAGTTAGGAAAACTTGAATATATGAAACATTGTGAAGGAATATGGTTATTATTATAAATAACGAAACGTGTGTAGGGTTTCGCTAAGTACCCTCACGGTATTAGTACGATCTTTATTGAAATGGACTGTCGGCGTTGGAGGTCCGTGCCTGACTGGCCTCCTGACGCCTCGCTTTTGGGACCGCAGTGCGACTTGGCGGGGGAGGTTTTTCCCCTGACGTCACTTGGCGGGCAGCTGAGTTTCCTCCAGGTCAAGTACTCGTGACCTGCCGGTTCGGGCCTCTGGGCCTCGTACGGCTGACCTTTCGGAAACCCTTGGTTTATGATGCGGCAATTTGCTATTGAGGCCGTCGGAGAAAGTTTCTACGCGGACATGCATTGTCGAATTTTTAGAAATTAAATAAGCTAAAAACGGTTTCCTCAAAAATAGCCTTTCAAGCGCGCACGTCATAAACCGTGCTGGTAGTCTGCTCGCCAAATGTTTTCCGCTGTAGCTGATCGCTACAATTGTATCATTGATTAAAAAAATAAAGAAGAGCCTAGGTGAGAATGGATCTGGTAATTCCAATGTGTAAAGTTAAGACTTGAGAAATTCGCATGCAAAAATTTCAAAAAACCTCCAACTTATCTGTCCAGGTCCACAAGCAATATGTCTGCCGAGTCGAAGGCGAGTTCCCTGAAGAAGAAGTGGTCTGCTCCGAGCCAATCGAGGTGGTGTCCTACAAGATCGGCGTCTGCAAGGTCTCAGAGAAGGGCAAGGACTGTGTGACGCGTTTCAAACGTCTCAGCTACAATGGCAAGTCATCCGTGGTCCTCTGTAAACCACAGACTGGACGAATGCATCAGATCCGCGTTCATCTGCAGTATCTAGGCTACCCAGTAGTCAACGATCCTCTGTACAACCATGTAGTCTTTGGTCCAGAGAAAGGAAAAGGTGGAAACATTGGTAAAACTGATCAAGAGTTAGTCAGGGATCTGATCAGCATCCATAATGCAGAAAATTGGCTGGGTATGGACGGAGACTCAGAGATGAGCTTGTTCAAGCCGAAGCTAGACATGGAGGAACGTGTGTTGAACAATGATAAAGATGGTTCCTCACCGTCGTCCACGCCAGGTCTTGGTGAAGAGGAGCAACAACAGCAACAGGAGCAATCCCTAAAAGTGACAGTAGGCACTCAGACAGGCTCAGAGCCACCAGATTCCAGCTTCACGAATGACAAGATGACGGTTGATCCACATTGCTATGAGTGCAAAGTGAAGTACAGAGACCCAAAACCGTCTGACCTGGTCATGTACCTTCACGCGTGGCGCTATTGTGGTCCAGGCTGGGAATATGAAACACCTCTTCCAGCTTGGGCAGCTAGTGACTGGACCGAGGAGGACCGATAGTTCCGATCCAGAGAGCATTGAACAAAAGGACGAGCTGTCATCACCCTTCGTACCCCTTTTTGATATCCTTACCCCGTGCCTTCCATCCGCCAGCGAGCGATCTCGACCATCGTACATGTACCCATACCCTATGACCAGGTCGCTGGACTCGCGAGAGTAGAGGGGAGACCTCGACGTTGGCCCTCCGTGATTGGTATCTAGCCAGGTCTGCGCTGACATTCGAGGCTCTTCCGCTGGAGATGCTTTTGGTGAACCTGTCGGGATCGTTTTGAGGATGGTCGTTGTTGTTGGTAGCTGTGATGTGCTCCAAGAAAAGAATGTGCTTCTATTGGTAATTCAATTGCTGAGGTAGATTAGGAATCTTCAATTTTACAAATACAGTAGACCTCCAATGGTTAAAACGATAATTGATTATGGAAAAAAATTGCAAATAATCATTTTCAATCTTGTACCACTCTGTGTAATATCTGAGGAATGTATAAGTGTCTTTTGTTCTTTACATTGATTTAAATTTATCGAGAGCATACTCTTCGTAGCTAAAATATTAGGTTAGCAGAGGTTGTGTTAGGTGATGGGTTCACCCAGTTTAACTGCAGATCACAAATGACAAAGATCAATCAAATAGAGCAAGGTGTATGATACAGTAATTAGCCTGAGATGAATGTAGACGTTGCGTGAAAGATCCTGGGAGGTTTCCAGGTCATACTCGAGCACAACAGTGACGTCTAGGGTCCGCCAATTAAAACGTAATTGATAGATGATTGTTTTCTGAATTTTCTGGTTGGAAAAAATCGAGGCATCAGCCTGGCACCGGGCGACACGAACGATCCTCACTGGTTCTGCGAGCTGATCGGTTGAAAAGTCACGAGAGAAGATTGATGCAACTGTCAGAGCCCGGATGGATCGTTATCGTTCGTGTTCCTGATTTATGATGCAGATAGGAACGAGGAGAGCCGACGGTCTTTTCTATTTCTAAGGGCTCCGGTGAGGGGATTTTTTGCTTCCTGATCTTGAGGGAGAGCTTGCACTCTCCACCTTTCCATGAATTTTTTTCTTGCTTCTTTCACCTTGGCGAGCAGGGAGGATCCTTTTCTCGTTTATTCTCAATGATTTTCTACTGGTACAATAATTGCTAACAAAGATGATCAATCTTCTTCTTACTCTTTTTTCCACAAAGATCAATTCAATGGAGTTTACAACTTCATTTTACCAGCCGAGGATCAACATGGAACTTCTAGATGCATTATGCAAGAAATGTAGCAGATAGTATCCATTGAGATCCCAAACTGAAACCGGAGTACCCATATTTAGGAAATTAGAGTATTCTCAGGACACCTTTTCAGGCAATGTAAAGTGATTCTGAATGTACATCTTGATCGAATTACCTGGATATAGAACAGCAATCTGCTCCCTAGTCCCAGTAACCCTATAGCTCTGACCACTAAAATTCAATTATGTGACTAATAACATCCATTCTACCTTGTGTTCACCATTCTACTGTGTAAATCGATCCATCTATCCACCTGTCCTTTCACGAACGCTCATAAAACAATTAAAGAAAGACAAAAAAGACAAAATCGCGACTGAGAGGTGTGAAGGTATCATCATCGACCAGCGTTCATCCTCGAGAGCCGCGCAGGCAAGATGGCTGACGTAGGAAACTGCAATAGAGACGCGTCTATTTTTATGGCTGATTATATATACAGGAAACTAAATAGTGGCTCAGGTCCAGCGGCAGGGGTCTCCAACAATAAGCGTGATCTTGCCAGGAGGATATAGCCAATGATCATGCCAAAGAACGCGAGCGCGTGTCCGGCGAGCGAGAGCGAGACAGAGAGTATGATAGTACGTAAGAATGAGTGAATGAGAGAGAGAGAAAGAGAGAGAATGCTTCTTTCAAGTCATATCGTGTACGTGTACCTTGTTCCCGCGCGTCGAAGAAAGACCGCGTCCAAGTGGCAGGACTTGCAACAAGTACAATCGAGCGAGTGAAATAACGAGATTAACGTCGTACATTATTTTGCTACGAGTCACGTTCGTCTCCTCTAGCGGGGCTATACATAGGCTTTTATCGCGTGCTAGGGACATCTAGCAGAGGCGATGGGAATTTCCAAGGATCTATGGGATCCTCTAATGGTTTGATGAATTTAGTATATGGTGAGTGATAGACGTTCGATGTATTCTTAAACCACGTGATTTATTGTTCTTTTTATTCTTTAATTATTTGATGATTCATGTTTGACGTTGTTGTGCGTGAGATACACGACACAGACACATCTGCAGGGAAAGTGTGACAGATAAAAAGATTTGTCAAACTAGAGAACAGAAATTTTCTCTGCAGATTATCAATAGCCATTTTCGTGAATTTGTGAAGTCTAGGTCATTTTTAAAAAGTTTCTATTTTATGGATGTGACCTTTTTGAATCTTCTTAACACGTTGAATGCCATACGGGTCATCGATGACTGGCATCGACGTGCCAGTGGCGCTGCGGAGATTGTCGTGAACCCGCAGAGGTAGAATTTTGGTTTATTTTATAACTGATTTTATTATTATTACGATACAAATCCAAGGATCGGATTAGAGTTTGATTTTGAAACACCAACTATTTTTCTGTCGAAAAATGCGTGCGCGAGGGTAGATATAACGTCGGTAAAAATTACTATTGGTCGTTTCTATTGCGAGGGTGGGGGTACTGGAAGTTTAATTGGTTATCCGAAGGGTGGAGGTGGTAATTCTGGAAAGTTCGGATATTTGGGAGGGGCGTAATTTATGGCGAAGGCCCTTGAGGCCCACGAACTAGCGTGGTTTTGCCTAAGTCATATACGTTCAAGTGGGTTTGAGGAATAGGAAAGAAAACAATAGTGACATTTTCCAGAACTCGTAGGAGAGAAAGTTTTGGAGTATCTAACAAGGTCATCGGTGACTGACGACGCCAAGATTAGGAATAATAGCATTAATTTAAATAAATGGTAATATTTGTAAAATTTTCAATATCGTCATTGTTATTACAATGATGTAAAGTAACTAATGCATCGTAGAATATATTTAAATAGTTTTCTTTCTAACTGTATACATATTATTTACGTATATTGCGATGTTTTATTTTTAAAAAAATTCATTCCAGCGCCATGGGAAAGTTACAGTACTATCGCGTTAATTGGCCAGGATTTCGCCTTGCTAGCTAGCCGTCGCTATCCCCACAAATTCTTAAAACTGGCTTTGTGGAATGAGACTCTGACGTTACGTATCTAAATTAAACAGGACCTCGATATTTCATATTAGGTATCCGTATTTCACTCGCACTCAATGCAGAAGAAACATATATACCTGGGATTTCATATGTAGTCCCGAGTCGCGGCCAGCTAACGTGATAATACTATATTTAGAATTGGTTCGGTAGTTAACGTGTTAATGAAGATGTAAGAGCAGCACACTTATAACTGAATTTTCAAAGTGTAGCTTAAAAAAGAATTGCGATTTTTAGACGCCCGCGAGCACTCTTTCGTATCATATCATAGTCACTCAAGTCATTTAAAGTTTCCTTTTGTTTTATTAATTCATACAAACTGAATTCTGTATTTGAATACGCGTGAATCACTTCAAATCACCGAAAGTCTCGCATATGACAACGGGTCTATTGAATGATGTAAATAAAATGGGTATCTCGTCGTAAATTTGAAGGTTATGATTCAAAAGTTTTATCCGGGTTACTACTATGTTTGGAGCTTACAATTGTAAGGTGTGTTCTTCTGGAGTAGTGTTAATTTTCATGAAAATTAGCTACTTTCCATGAATTTCTTGGTTAGAACGCGGCTTACAGATGAACGCGCCAAATGTCAAACACCGACATCGCAAGAAGGGATCAAAAACCATCTTTTATACGAAAGCTTTGTAATAATTGCGACCAATGAAATAAATGATGAGAAAGAGCTCGAAAGAGAAAATGTATCAAAAGATGAATAAGACAAAAAGATACAAAAAGATACGCAAAGATGATCACAGATATCCCATCGCCTCTTTAGATTCCTGTGGGCAAGAGGCAAACAGAGAACAGTGGACAGAGATTTTAGGTAGATAGAGGTAGGAGGGAGATAACGTAACAACGGACCTATCATAAAAGACAGTGTGTGCGCTTACTAACTCACCGGGATAGCTTGCGAGGCAAGAAAAGAAAAACAGAGGTAGAAAGAGAAAGCAAGCTATCCCGTTATTGTAATGGCTAGCTTAATTTTATTTAAGTAAAAGAATAAAAAAAAGAAAGGAACTAACTCTCGACGAAATATATCGAAAGAAAGGAATAATATAAGTGGGAAAAAGAGAAGGGAGAAACTTCAAAAGACAGTCCCGATTTAGTGGCACAGAGCGAGAGAGGAAGAGAGAGAAAGACATCGGTCTGTAAATCGAGCGAGCGCTTTTGTATGTATATATATATATTGTATATTGTATACGCACATTGTACCGCAATCCGAGCGACATTATTATCTGTATCCATAGTCAGCGGAAACGTTAGTGCTAGAGAACATTTTTTCTTGTATAATGAACGAATAAAATGCAAAGTATCGTTCGGTATACACGTCGTGTGCTAATCCTCTTTATTTTTCCAACTCCTGTTTCGTTGTAAACATTCCCGATTTTGCGCGCGTCTTTTTAGCTCATTTTATATGAAGTGTATTCAATGAACATTGAATATTTCAGAATTTAAAAATATTCACTATAAAAGGAAATATATATACATTTTTTTTACGCGAAAGAAATGTCACAGGTGACTATTTGGGGATCGTAGTGTATAGGATGATAATAGGTATATTTTAAACTACAAAATGTATATGGTGCTGTCATCTTGAGTCATAATTACAAGATATATTTAACAGATATAAAGTTTATTAAAAACATCTATTTTTAATTGAAGCTATAATTGAATTATCTTGTACGCTTCGTTGAAACAGACCGAAGCGAATCTTCGATGATTCATTGTTGAAGTTCCAACAATGTTACTCCAAACAAGATTAGAGTCTGCTATTTCCTTGGATTTCGGTATCATTGAAATAAAATCGCAATCCTCCCCGAAATACTTCTTGCTGTGGTTTAGTTTAATGATTTCCTGCGTGCTATAAATGTATCGCAAGATGGCCGCTATTGTACGATCGATTTCTATTACAAAACGAATTACGAGGTTACGTACGCTTTAAACGAGATTCTTTCCGTTGCGTTAAACCATATAAAAAAAAAAAAAATTGGATTACTTTCAAACATGACGCCTGCACCTTTATAAATACTGACAAATTGCAGGTTTTTTTTTTTACCTATTTTATTTACCCAACCGTCAAAAACTTAACTACGGTCCGGCAGAATTACATAGGAAAATTGTCTATACCGCATCTCGGTTCGCCTAATATACACTGTAAATAAATACAATATATCTTACATGTATGCATATACATTTACATTCGCTCGGTTCAACGGGAATTCAATAGTGGAACGTTCAATCGTTTCTAGTCTCTGTACCTTTATTTTCAATTAGACAGATTCTGCTTCTGCCCCTTAATTCGTTCTTCCATTTCCGGTCTGAAATGCCTGATCAGCCCTTGGACTGGCCATGCTGCACCATCCGCCAAAGCGCAGATAGTGTGCATTTCTATCTGTTTGGTCAACTCCCAGAGCATGTCTATCTCGTGTACTTCGGCTTGTCCTCGAGCCATCCTGAACAAATACATTTTCAATATTTTCGAACGTCTATTTTATTAATATAAATTAAAGAGGAAGTAAATCGAATCAATTATGTACCTTCCCAGTATTTTGTACATCCAACTAATTCCTTCGCGACACGGAGTACATTGGCCGCAAGATTCGTGTTTGTAGAAGCTTATAAGACGCGTAATGGCCTTAATGATATCTGTCTGCTTATTCATAACAATAACAGCTGCAGTACCGAAGGAACTCTGCACTCTGACGAGATCATCGAAGTCCAGTAGTACCGTGTCGCAGACGCTGTAAAATTTATTCAAATAATTAAAGGTTCTTGGATTTTTATATTTATAATTAATACCTTTTGGGAATCACTGGAGTGGAAGATCCACCAGGAATGACGCCCAGTAGATTATCCCATCCACCAATCACTCCTCCAGCATGCCTTTCTATCAGTTCCTTCAGAGGAATGGACATTTCTTCCTCCACAGTGCAGGGATTGTTCACGTGCCCCGAGATGTTGAATAATTTGGTACCGTGATTACGCGGTCGGCCAAATGACGCAAACCATGCTCCACCTCGTCGACAAATTGTCTATAGATGAAAGTTTTAATTTTAGATCAAATTTTCTATGTATATTTATTTCTTAATGGCGCTAAATATGTATTAAATACATACAGGAGCCACAGCCACGGTTTCAACATTAGTGACAGTGGTAGGACAACCAAATAATCCTACATCAGCTGGGAAAGGTGGCTTCAACCTAGGTTTACCCTGTTTTCCTTCAATAGATTCAATAAGAGCAGTTTCTTCTCCACAAATATATGCTCCTGCCCCTCTTTGCACAAAGATATCAAAATCGTAGCCAGAACCACATGCATTCTTTCCAATAAGACCTGCCTGATAAGCCTCTGCGATGGCAACTTGCATATTTGAAGCTTCATTATAGAATTCACCACGAATATAGATGTATGCTGCACAAGCTCCCATTGCACGACCAGCAATCAAGCAACCTTCCACTAGCTTGTGAGGATCATGACGTAAGATTTCACGATCTTTGCAGGTACCAGGTTCTCCTTCATCTCCATTGACTACCAAGTACTTCGGTCTTCCATCAGAAGGCTTGTTCATGAAGGACCATTTCATCCCAGAAGGGAAACCAGCACCTCCTCTTCCTCTCAGACCAGAGATTTTGATCTCATTGATAATCCAATCTGCACCCTTCTCAACAATTTCCTTGGTTTTGTACCAGTCTCCTCTTTTTAGAGCACCCTTTAACCTCCAATCGTGTCTGCCGTACAAATTCGTGAAAATACGGTCTTGATCAGCCAGGGCACCACCCTTTTTCTATAGAAAAAAAAAGCAAAACAAATGGTGCTGTATTGGTGTCACGATATCCTGTGACATAATGAATAAATATTAAAAAAAGTATGCAATAAACGTACCTTTCCTGCCGGAGCGGCATCCGCAAGCGTTCTTTGCTGCTGGCTGCTTAACGATGGCCCAAGGAAACCTTAAAAGTGAACGAATCTCTTTAATTACATAACCTCGTCTCGACGGCGACACAAAACGTCGTTGTTTCTTTCGAGCATGATAAACACAGAAATGTCAACGTTCCGTACGTCGTAGTCGATTGTTAATATTTCAATTTCCACGATTTAGGTTAAGCGAAAAAACAAAGTAACGTCGATACTCACCCAATTGCCTCCTCGGAACCTGAAAACAACGCACAATGGCACCAGCCATCTTGCCGATTGCAGACTTGCTGCAGTCCGCAACGTCCACTTAGAAAATCACACTATTGTCACCTTGTGGCGCATTTGGGAAACAGGCAGGCAGAAAGTTGAGTACGTGTTCATCGTTATTTTATCGTGTTTTCGCGAAAGGCTTGTGAAGAACGCGTCCTGTACTTGTTGTGCACTGCCTAAAAAAAAATCAGAAAATCTCGACGGGAGCTCTGTTTTTTAGCCTAGTCATGCACCTTGGCTATCAATAGACACCTGTCTAGAGGACGGTGACGAAAGCGGGAACGTTCGTGGCGGCGTTAGAATTGTTCGAATCAACATGCCTTCCAGGAGAAATAATTGCGACCTGCTGGCCAGGGTGAATTTTCCCCTGTACACGTTGCAAATGCTGACTGGCAGACACATTTTAGTTGGAGGCGGTGGAGGTTCCTCGAAAACTGGAGTGGCCAATGGATTTGTAAGATTTATTTTCTCTTTATCTTAGAGGTTTCTTTATGTTAAAAATTATATTCGTTTTGTAAAGTAATTAAATAGAGTGATTTTTCATTATTAGGAAATATTTGAACTCTCTCACAATGGGTCACAGTTCATTGCAGAGGAGTTGACCAGACATGAAACAGGTCCAAGTGTGGTTATGAACTGTACAACTTACAATAATGACAAAAGAATGTGGATAGCAGCTGGCCAAGAGAGTCACTGTCAGCTTTATAATGTAAGTAGTAAAGTGGTGACCACAAAGAATGGGGAAATCATTAAGAGTGCCAGTGGTAATACAAAGGAGGGCCTTAGGCACAGGAAAAGTGTGGATAAAGTAGAAGAGACTGTTACACCTGAAGAGAGGATAGAAGAAATTAAGGATGATAATTCTAATATTAAAAGTAAAAGGTTGCAATTGATTGTGAAGCCTGCAGATAGTGTACAGACAGATTTCAGGTAATTATTATTCTCTAAACATATTAAAAATATTCCAAAACAGTGTTCTAAATAATATAAACTTTTACAGTGAGGAAGAACCTCTTCAGAGGATTGTCAGAATAAGCCCAAATGGAAAACTAATGGCCACTGGTGGAATGGATGGTCACATAAGAGTATGGAAGTTCCCACAGTTACATAAAGTATATGATATAGATGCACATACAAAAGAAATAGATGACATAGACTTCAGTCCAGATAGTTTATTGATTGCAAGTATAGCAAAAGATGGCAAAGCTTTTCTGTGGGATATGAACATTGGCTCCAAGTTAAAAGAACTGACTTGGACACCTCCAAATGGATTAAAATACCTGTACAAGAGATGTAGATTTCGGAAGTTGAAGGAGGAAGTAACAAAAGTTCGACTATTTATGCTCTCAAATGCAGTAGTTGGAAAGAATCCTAGTTTCTTACAAATGTGGGATGTAGATTCTGGAAGCATTGTCAGGGCAGTTCCATATAAAGAAACTCTATCAGCTTTGGCAGTGTCAGATGATGGAAAATTTGTGGCAGTAGGGACAATGTTTTCTGGTAGTGTAGACATACTCATAGCATTCAGTTTGAGGAGAGCTTTGCATGTACCTGGTGCGCATAGTATGTTTGTAACTGGCCTAGAATTCTTACCGACTAAACTAGACGGTCATACTATCGCTAGTAACACTGAAACTGCCGTTGTTAGCATTTCTGTGGATAACAAAATTTGCATACATAGTATACCGTTTAGACGTAAGTAATCGAATAATTCCTTTCATGGTTTTTCCTTCCAGATAATAAAAATAAATAAATATTTTCCGTTACAGATACACTACCATTCTGGTTCGTGATCATATTAATCGTTCTGAGCGTCTGTGGAGCATTCATCTTCTGTAGTTACCTCGGAATATGACCTGAAAAAATACACCTCTAACGCTGCCGAGTACTTTTTCTAGAATTTTTTAAGGTCGGACATCAAAACATTCGAACGTACTTTCCCTTAGGTTGTACGTGTTATCGATGATATTGAGGAGAAAGACATAATTAGTTTGAACATACAAAACACATGTGCACGATTTCCGTGACAATAGATACAATTATGTGCAATTTATTCGCTAACCGACTTTAATATTTGCGTCACATTGTTCGTGCGCGCAAAATAGATTCCCTTGGAGCATCGTTTATTTAAATAACGTTTGAACGAATGAAGTACTGTTGCAATAAATAAACACTTTACACTAGATAAATCGTTTGACGAACATTATTGTACATAGGTATTTTTAAATCGACACACACACGCACAGAAACAGGTAGCTACATTCGTTCTCTCGCTACACACTTTTTACACCCGAAGACCAATTTATATACCACTATTTCGTTTTGTATAGGAAATTCAGATCTTCGTATTGCATTTATGTGAGTTGTCCTGTATAGTGTTCACGTGTGTACAGCAGAATGTGAGATGTTACATACATATATATATATATATATTTAACGTCG